GAGGGTGGAACACACCCATTCATCCTCTGGGCCTCACCTCCTCCACTCGTATCACAAGACAGGGGAAAGGTGCATGTCCAGCTCTGATAGTGTTGAGCCTCTAACCTCCAACAGCCTCGTCTAGTTCAGCTCCGGACAGCGCAAATTCAGCACCAAGGCCAGCAGCTGCTTGGAAAGAGCCTACTAGGACAGGGATGCAAAGCTGTTTTAACCTCTCTGATCCCAGAGTTTCAGGACAACTCTGTAATCAATCCGGGTCAGGGCTGCCCAGCTGGCAGATGAACAGAGTGGTGTAAAACTATGGACAGGCAAAGTACATGGGTGCATCATAAAGAGGTTTTTGGACTGTGGGTTTTTCTGCACTCATTCACTCTTTCCCTCTCCCTCCCCCCGACTTACCCCATTCCCTAACCAGTGTCACCAATTCCTGGTGATGCATTTCCAGTGGCATGTGGCTGCCATGGGATGCAGGAGAGGAATCCTAGGATTCAATGAGCAAGAGGTATCTGGGGCTCCAGGCCTGCTCTGACAAGGTGTAACCTTGTACAGGTCACCTCCCGCTCTTGGAGTTAAATTATTCATGAGATGTTTGATCCAGATGACCTCCAAGCTTCCAAGGAGATTGTCTTAGCTTGGCTTCCCCAAAAGCATGACCACAGAGTCTAGGATTCAAGTGCAAGTAGTTTGTTTATTTGCGGGATGAGTCCAGAAAGTACCAGTAGCAGAATGGGGAAGTGAGACAGGAAAAGAGCCAGCACAAGGTCTGTCAATAATCAGTTCACCAGTGTGGACTAGCCTAGTTCAAAGTAGACATTATTTGTATTGCATGACAACTGGGGTTCAATTCCATGAGGATCTTTTGGGAGACAGTGTGGGACAGAGTTGTCCCTCATGAGTGGTGACAAAGTAATTCACCACCAAATTCTTATTTGTCATTGATTTGGATCTTCTCTTGGAGAGTTAGCATTTCCAGCCTCTGGGTGGGAGGCATGTTCTCGCTGCTGGAGCAGGCCCTCGGGCAGGGAGGTGCAGGTGCTTGCAATAAAAGACTCGGCAGCACAGAACAGTGTGTGCTAAGGGGATATGGTAGGGACCTGGCACACCGCCTTGCATCTATAATGTCCTGAAAAGTATATGACTTCCTGTGGCCAAACCATGAGCGAGAGTGAGAAGAACCATACATCTAAGGAGGTCTAGAAGGGAAAGTTTTTACTTTGAATGTCCGGCTCTTCCTTCCTCTAAAGCTAACAGCTCACCCATTCTGAGACTCCTCCTGGGTGAAGAAGGCTGATAGCCTGCTATAACCTCAGGCCCACTAGTTACTGTGGACAAATGATTCAACCTCTGTGAGCTTCCACTCCTACGCCTGCAAGGAAGGAACACAAATAGTTATCGTGAAGAGCTGTCATGTTGATTAAAGGTAATGGGCAAGTGGGCAAAAGAAGAACCAGGTGAGCTGGGCCTAGGGGAACTGATAGGAACATGTCTACTTCCTCCATGAAATTGTCGTGTTATAGCATAGGAAGAGAGCTAAGTGTGAACCAGTTCCTGTCTCCTTGAGGGCCACCAATGTGATGGGATATGGGTGTGTGGTCATGCTGAGTTCATAGGGGAGATTGGCATATCTTGGTTTTAGATCAGACTTCCGCTTTGGAGAATCAGCTATCAAACCAGATTATTCTAATAAGGACAATAAGAAAGACTCTGAGAGAAGAAACCACAAAAGTTGGGAATCATGTTCTAGGATAGTCCCAGCCAGCAATCCAAGCATTAGTCATGATCTGGGAAAAATTAGGGATCCCTCATACTACATGTATAAGGCTCATGTCATAAACCTTGCTTAGAACTAAAAGAGGCACATAAATATCTTTCAAACTTTCTTTATGGAAGCAGGGATGTGGCATAAAAATAATATGGGCATCATTGGTAAAACCTGGCATGACTTAGGGGTCAGGTTCATGCAGGGAGTGAGATAATCACTTTAATAAAACATTGTCAGAGTACAGATAAAGGGTTCTTGTGACTTCTAATCCCAATGCATGGCCTTGTATGGGCCTTAAGAAAGTGGTGGCCTCCATGGAAGCACCCAGAAGAGGGTCTCCATCAGAGAGGGATGGAATGGAAGGACTGGGTATTCATATGTGGTTATGGCTGTAGAGTGCACAATATTGAGAACGAGGTCCAAAGCATCAGGTTTGGGGGAAAAAAAGAGAAGAACAGTAATGGCAGCTAAGCGTGGGTAGCAAAGGACAGGATGCAAGACAAATGATAGGAGTAGAGACTAAAAAGACTCAGAATTTTTCAATGAGGCAAGGAGCCTTGTGTATAGACCTCTGGGCAAGAGGGAGCAGTACTGAGCCCGCTTGGTTGCAGCTACCATTAGGAACTCTGATTGCTACATGAAGCCCACTTTGCCAGTTTTACCACCCCAGCACCAAGCTCCCCCGAGTGTCACTGTGCTGGAGTCAAACCTCATCCCACCCTCACATAATGTGTTGTGATAGACAGTCCAACCCTATCTCTTCAAGTACCTCCCTCACCAGCAGCAACTACAAACCACCCTCAGCACAGATGGCATCTGGCAGCGAGGGAGAAGGAATAGAGCCAGGGGAAAGGAGACTCTTTGTTGGGGGAGAGGCCACAACGTGAAGACATGTGGATAAGGAGGGAGAGGGGAAGAACCTTGAGCAAAGAGGAAGCTCAAGAACAGAAGAGGATACAAAGAAGACCAGATGAAGGAAGCTCTCTCAGCAAGCCAGTGTCCCCCGAGGCTCCGCAATGAGTGAGCAGAGCAGGGACCACTCCTTGGCTATGTGCTGCACAGATGGGGAGCCCTCTAGGACATTGAGGAAGCTGCATGTGAAGAACCCATGCAGGAGGCTCTGTGCCCAAAGGGGAAGCCATCTGCCCCATTGTATGAGCACTGGGCCTGCGCCTACACAGCTGTGCTTCTGCCACACTCAGCTGCACACTCTCCCTGGGGCCCTCATCACCCTTTGTTACAGTTAGCTACCCACCTGTCTGTCCTCCCTGGGAGACTAGGACCTTTCTGAGAACAACCGTGTTCATCTGTGAGGATCTGAGGTCTTTCTGGGACATAATGAGTGCTTAGAAAGCTTTGGGCCCCGGCTGGTGTGGCTCAGTATTGAGGGGTGATTCATGAACCAAGAGGTTACTGGTCCCATTCCTAGGTGCAGGCTTGGTTTGCAGGCTTGCAGCAAGGGGCAGACAGTACAGGAGGCAGACAATCCATGATATTTCTCTGTCATGGATGTTTCTATCTCTCTACACTTCCTCCTTCCTCTCTCTCTAAAAATAAATAAAAACATATTTTTAAATTTTTTGGGAGTGTTTGTAAGTGTTGCTCAGATATGAAGTTGGGGGTGCAAGGGCAGAGACGACATAATGGAGGGTTCAGAAAGTAAAAATATCAGATGTCCCAATGCAAAATTTCTCAAATCCCTCTAATTAGTGCCAGAGTCAACCAGGATGGCATGATAAAAATACATTCTCCCAGGCCTACTGACTTAGCACACCACAGCCGGGCCCAAGAGTATGCACTTTATCTCCTTCCACAGGCGATACTGATGGCCAGCGGCCTACGAACCACTGTCCTATGGCCATCAATTGCACTGACACATGCAATCAGGGCGCTGGGGGTCTTTTGACAACATGTGGAACAACTCCTCACTTTATAAGAAAAGTGGAGGCCCGGCGAGGAGAAGGGCCTCACCCAAATCCCACGCTTCGATCTGATCCTCCTGCTGGGGACTGTCACCCAGGCTTTCCCACTGTCCCCGTCATCTTCCTGGTCTGGGTGATGCATTCCACTTTCCTGCGCGCGCAGTGCGCTGTCCAGCACCGAGTGCTCCTGAAGAAGCTTTCTGGCCTGCAGCTGGGCGTACTCCGCATCTGGCACTGATGTGAATTAAAGAATGGTGGGTTATATGTACACAGATAATAATTTAATAATAATAAAAGAATGGTGGGCCGCTCTGCAGTGCCCCAGCCTCTCCCGGTCACTAGGCAGCGCTCAGATCTGTAGCAGCAGCAGCAGCAGCAGCAGCAGCAGCAGCAGCAGCTAGGGGCTCCCTCCCGCAGCATGTTATCCAACTTCAGGCTGATTATAAATGGCTGCGGCGGGGAGATGGGGGACTCACACTCCCGCACATGGCTCGCTGACGGATTCCCTTGTTCAGGGACCACACAGGCAGGGGAAGTAGATTAAAATACAATGTATTGCATTGAAATGTAACACAATGCTATACATAATATTCAGTTGGATTTGCATATTCACATCTCCCTCCCCCATCAAGTTCTCCAGCTGGGTCCCCAGGGCCTTTCCTGTTAAGCTGCTATCACTGTCACACAAAGAAATTTAATGACTTGAGGGGCTAAAAGGGCCTTCAAAATGTCCTCTCACCTCGCTCCCTATTTCTAACCAGGAAATATTGGAATCCGGTACTCTGCCCTTAAACTTGGCGAGGAGGGGAAAGGGAAGGCTGTCCTACACCTATGGGTGGTTTCCATTTCCCCTTTGACCCACCCTGTGTGTCTACTTCTGTCTGTCCTTCCATCTGCAAACCTTCTCTGAGCTACAGAAATGGCTGAACTTTCCCTGCTGCCCCTCAACCCCTCACCTGAACCCATGGCCTCTGAAACAGGCCCCAACCTTCTGTTTTCATTAGCACCCTCTCATCTGATTGGGAGCCAAGCTAATAAGGGGCAATGTTAGATAAATGCCTAGTCTCTGGAGGCTCCAAATGATGGTAGGACAGGTACCAAGGAAAATAACTCAGCATGTGGAAAAGAATGACAGCCAAAGAATCCCATTTAATTTGATGGCGTGATGAATATTTAAGGTTTTATATAGAAGTACAGGAAAGCAATCAGGCTTATTCAGGCATGGGCTCTGGGGAGCAGAGTACGCTCCCCATGTGCTGGCAATATAGGGAAGGGAGATGAGGATGGGCAGAGGAGGGGGGAATGCATAAATAGTCCATATTCTCCTCATTCTCTGTATTGAAGTGGAAAGGAGCTTACTAGTGCAGTTCAAGAAGAATGAGGGGGTCCACCCAGATGATTATCATAACATGCTGACACCCTAAACAGTTCCTCTTTAAAATTGAATTTCTAATATCATCACTTTGGAGATTATAATATTGAGACATGAATCCCTTGGAAAATGATTCAGGAGCTGTGCATGCTGTGATAAAGGCACCTGCCAAAGACACGGAGGGGACATAAATCTGCCACCAAGTGTGCAGAATCCCTAATCGTGCCACCCCTCCAACAGCGTGGGGTCATTAGAAACCTGCCAACTGCATCGCTGTGGGCAGCTCATTCATTATAAACAAGGACAAGATATTTTCCATGTTGCATCAGCCGTCATGTCAAATTCCGGCACCAGAAAGGTAGGGTTGATACAGCCCTTGCCTTCAGAAAGCTGCCAGTCCATGCTCACAATACCGCGATGTTAGTCCAGCACAGAGCTAAGGCAAGGGGGCAAGCTAAGGGCTAATGGGATAGGAGTGCGGCTTCTATCGGTGCTGATGGGGGGGATGGGGGAAGGCTTCATATTAGTCAACATGGCAGTCACAGTCCTTGCCCTGCTGTTCTCTCTTGAGAAGTCACCTTTGTACCACTCAGCTGCTACTGTGAACACCAGGGACTTCATGCCTGAGCGAGCTTCCTGGCCGAGGGAGCCAGTTGTGCTGGAGAGCTAATATCCCTGGAAGCCTTCAGCCAATGATAGATGGCAAGTAGGTGAATAAATACTCCACTTCCTCACCCCTGGGGGCAACAATTCAGAGTATGCTTCATACCTTCTCCCAGAAACCCCAGTGGGAGGAGCTGAAACTGGAAACACACACTTATAACATGCCCTTCATTGGATTCTTTCCCTTTCTTCATTTCCTTTTTTTCCTCTTCTAATTCTCACATTTTCACCCAAGAATATGCTTAGAAAGAGGAAGGAGAGAGAGAGAGAGAGAGAAAGAGAGAGAGAGAGAGAGAGAGAGAGAGAGAGAGAGAGAGAGAGAGAAAGCAGAAGAGAATATATATTAGAAAGAACAAGGATTGATTGCCTTCTGTACATGCCCCAATGGGACATAGAACCCTCAACCCAGGTGTGTGCTCTGACAAGGAATCTAACTGGCAATCTTCTGGTTCACAGGATGATGTTCAAGCAACTGAGCCACTCTGGCTGGGCCCCTTTATTTTTCAATTTCCACTCTTCTACCGAAATTTTCTAGGTCACCACCCAAATAAAATAGTCATACTCAACCCTCGTCTAAAAGTCTGTTTTTGGAGGAACCCAAACTAGCTCAATACCAGTAGCTGCCCTTTATTAAACATCAACCAAGGCAGGCATTGTGATGGCTTTTATACCAAATCTAATCCTTCCAATGATTCTAAAAGTTATAAATTATTGTTTCCATTTTATAGATTAAGAATCTGAAGCCCAGGGAAAGCAAGACACTTTTTCATATATATATAATTGATTTTTTTACAAAAAGGAAAGGAGAGGGTTAGAAAGTTAGAAACATCAATGAGAGAGAAACATCAATCAGGTGCTTCCTGCACATTCCCTACTGGGGATGTGCCCACAAGACCCTTCAGGACGCAGGTCAACGCTCTATCCCCTGAGCCAAACAGGTTAGGGCAAGACACTTTTTTTCAAGGTCACACAAAAATGTAGAGACCTAGAGCAAATTAAGTTCCTATGACTCTATTAATGATTATTGTTAGCCTCTCCCTTGAACAACTCTCAAGGTGAAGAGAACAAAGATCCCTTGATAAATAAGTTAGCTTTTCTAAAACACACACACACACACACACACATCACAAAATAAAAACGCAAATACCGCATATATACATATACCTGTGAAACTGGCTCTATAATTTCAGGTGGGTCATAGCCCCTATTAGAATCACTCATGGGCTCCAGGTTAAGAAACTCTTTGAAGAATGAATAAGACTTTCAAAACCAGGGGATGAACTCTATTCCTGGGGACTTTGGGGATGGGAGAACTATAAAGGGGACATAGCAGAAAGAGGGGATGCTAAACATATCTAAGTGTGATTAGTCACTGGAACCTCAGGGGCTCAAGGGAGGATGTAAACTTGGGGAGTTGAAGGGAAGGAGAAAGATCTGGCTGAGTGAAAGCTGAGAAGGAATGTTGGATGGGATAGGCCAATATCCCAATGGAAGCCTGTCCCTGAATGAAGGTGGGAGAGTTCCTCTCTAGCCTGAACCATGGATGCTTACATGAGCCATTTACCTCACTGGTCTTGACCTCAGTACTCCCCTCCCACGGCCTTGCTCTCCTCCTCACATCAGTCATTCACATGCCCAGTCCCTTAGGTAAAAAAGTAGAAACCACTCTAGGTATTTCTAACAGGGACTTGAATACAGGCAAAGTGTGTCAAAGGTGTTGGTTGGATTTTAAAAGGCAAAAAAGAGAAGGTGATATTACTCAGAGGTTAGTAACTTCAAGAAGTCATGACTGCTCAGAGAGCTGGAAGGGTAAAAGAGGGGAAAGGGTCATAACCCCGATCCCAGGATCCTGTGCTCCCTGACATGGTGCAACCATTGCAAAACTGGGCAGAAACCCAGGAGTCCACACCCTTGCCGCTGCAGCTACCAGAAGCAGAAATAGCTTCCACCTTCATGCCTTCTAACCTCAAGCGAGAACTTCCCACAAGCACACCCTATGCAGAATCCAGCTGGCCAGGGTTCCGGAAATGAGGTTTTCAGGTGGCACAGGAGTCTATCAAAGAGCAGATATGCAGGTGTGGGTCTCTTGTTAACAGGCAAAATCTGGCACCAACATCCGGCCTCAAAACCTGGAATTATATTCTCCTTTGTTCTGGTTGCAAATTCTCATCCTTCTCCCATTGTCTACCAATCCCCAGATCCGCACCAGAGTAAGCCCACCCCAACTGCCATCCCATAACCCCTGTCTAGCCTCACATGCCTGCTTATTCATTTCCCCATGACCCACCTTTCAGAAGGAATCAAAGCTTGCCATTTGCTTGGTTTGTCCCATGCCCTCCTGACCACCCCAATCCAAGAGCATGCAATGTGCTGGTTCTTTCTGTGGTTCCCAGTTGACAAATTTCAGGATCAAGTCCCATGACCTCCCTGAGTATCCACCACAACATAGTAAGAGAAATGGGCCTCATTTCTGTCTGAAAAACCCATATTCATCCCCTGGCTAACAGCCAGTCTCATGCCCAAGGGCTGCTCCAATCTTCCCCTCCCTTCACATTGCACTTTCTCTCTCTGTACCACTCAGCTTATAAGGTGCAGACCACAGGTCACTCCCCTACACCTCAAAATATCTGTTGTCTCCTTCCCCTTTGTTCATTTCCTCTGGCTGCTGTGGAAGTAGGGACCTTCCTCTTTCTAGGGCTCACGCACCCCCCACCATGGAACATTTCTTCTTGCTTTCTCTGCACTGGCTCCTTCACGCTGGCTTTCACCCAAGTGCTTCCACCCCCAAGAATGTCTTTCCTCCACCCTGCTTTCTCCTGAGCTCCCATCCCACCTTCCACTATCCTTTCACAGCTAAACTTCTCAAAAAAAGTATTGTGCGCTTACCGCCTCTACTTCCTCACCTCCCACTCAGCCCCAGCCTCTAGCAAGCTGGTGTCCACACCACAGCCCTGCAGAAATTGCTCCCTTAAAGGCCACCAGCGACCTCTGAATTGCCAACCCCGATAGCTCTGCTTCACCAGTCCCCATCCTCCAAGACTCACTCCTCCTCAGGTCAAATGCACCATTTGACACAATCCTTAGCCAGTGGACCTCCTGGGGTGCCACAGCTCATGTGTGTGCTAAAAATGGGTCACCATGCAGCCATATTGAAGATGAAAATAGAGAAATATTTCCAAACCATTACCTGAGCCCCCCACCGGTCCCCTCTCACTGCCTGAGCTAGGACCCTGAGGTGGACTGCCCTGTTGTATAACAAATACAGAATGATGCTTGGTGTGACAAGGCCTATTCATGGGTATACCAGTTGTAGATATTTTCAATATCACCCCTGCTTATGGCTGTGCTAAGATGTTGATTACTTCTGTAATGGGAACAGGCAGGTGGAATCAGGGGACTGTGGAGGGCAAATCTCCGCCCTTGAAGAGGGAGTGTCTCCATTTACCTCCATGTATCATACAAATATCATTTGCTACATGAGACTGGCAAAGGGGACTTTGGCAAACAAAACACTAAGCTCTCTCCTCTTTGTTAATTTCCACAATAGTAGCTTATTATTCTACCCTCCATGGGCTGCTTTTCTGTCTCCTTGCCAGCCTCTCTAACAGGCTGGCCTTGGACAAATTGCTTAATCTTGTTGAGCCTCAGTCTTCTTATCCATAAAATGGGTCTAGCCAATTTCTGCTTTACATGGAGAAGCACAGGTGATATAGGGAAAATGGCTAATGCAGGACCATGCATGCATAAGGCTAAATGAGTGTAAGTTCCACCCCCTACCTCCTTCTAACTCCACCTTTCTCCCCTGGGGATCTCTTCTGATCCCATGATCTTCCACCTCCATTCTATTTCTGACTCTCTTCCAGACCTATTTACTGAATTATGTCCTAGACAAAATGTCCCTAAGCTCTCAACCTATAGACATCCATCTGGAACCGACCACTTCACACCCCCACCCCCACCTCCCACTTTCTCCTACCTTCCCAGTATCTATCTCTCAAGGACACCAACCATTCCTCCAGTGGATGAGGCTCCATGGCAGGAAGTGAGTTCTAACCACAACCTTCCTTCTCAGACCCCATCTAGTTACCTCTTGGATCCAGTCCATTCTACTCCTCACACCCCCCTTCTATTGTCACCATTGTAGTCTTGATCTCACTCCTTTCTTCTCCTACCTGGGTTATTTCGATAAATTTATAAATGCTTTTCTTTTATCCACCACACATTGTCACTATGATTATTCCCACTTTCCAGGTGAAGAAAGGGAGCCACAAAGAGGCCCTGCAGCTAGCTAAAGGAACTTCCCTTATAGGTGGGGACTTGAACGGAAACCCGGAGTCTGTGGAGCCCACAATCCTGACCACCAGGCCTTTTCTGCTCTTGCTTGGGTCCTACCAAGAAACTCTCCAAGGCACACTATGGCGTCCTGCCTCCTCACCTTCCCCTGTGCTGTTACCCACACCAGGATAGCAAGATTCTCTCATCTTTAAACCCACCAAATGTTTCTATCAAGCACCATGCAAATGTCAACACCTCCTTGATATTGGTTGTTGTTGATGGTTTTGTTTTCTTGCTTGGATCTCTCGATATCTTTATTCTGGAAATGCAGAAATTGCCCAGACATTTTATTTTTACCTTATTCTTTTTTATGAGTATTAGCATGATTTGAATGTGTACCTGGCCAGCGCTACCAGAGTGTGGAATGGGCCACAGCTGATATTTCCCTTAGCCCTTCTCTGTATTTTTTGCGTGAAACTTACAAAGGCGGTTTTAGAGGAAGAAGTCGAATTATTGTCTTCCTCCTCTCTCCAAGTCCCTTTGAAAGAAAAGCCAATGGCTTGCTTAAGGAATGGGAAGAATGTAGCAGTCAGTCAGCTCCTGCTGTGGCAAATCTAGTGAGTGAAGGATGCTGGTGGCAGGAACATAGATGATGAGAGCTGTGCTCCTACAGCTGACCGGATTATAAGACAAGCCACAAACTATAACTATACATTCCAAACAATACACAAAAGAAGGCAGAGAGAGGTGAAGGAAGGGACTCAGCGTTGGTGTGAGAGGAGCGAACCTGCCCTCTCCATGTTGGAGAAGGAGAAAGTGATTTTCCTTAAACCATTTACTCCCAACCATTCACACTCAGCACAGGCCCTGGAGTCGGGTTGCCAGCTTAGGGATGTGGCTCTGCCACCTGCCAATTCTCTCACCCAGCAAGGTGCTCAGCTTCTGTGCCTTGGTTTCCACAGCTGCAAAATGAAGATAATAGTAGTACCTGCCTCTCGGGGTTTGGATGGGAAGGAAATGAAATAAGCATTGTCCAGGGCAGAGGGAAGTGGCTGGCATACTGAGTGCCCCAAATGCTACCTAGGACTCTGATATGTGTGATGGCAAGAGAGGAGACTGGGAAGGTGGGCAATCTGGAGAAACCTTAGGAGAGCTGTGGTAAGTGTCGGGGGTGGGGGAAGCTAAGAGCTGTGATCCTTTCAGACTCTCCTGGGCACTTGCCACAGCCCACAGTGTTTCTGGTTCAATGCCACCCTTAAAATTTGGGGGTTTCTTGGCAGGAGGCAAGAGCCAGGGAGGTCAATGGCATCTATTGTCTCAAGTCCCTTTCTGGATGGCTGTTTTCTTGGTTATTCTTCATTGGATAGTAAAAACTATTTAGCCCCATTTTAGAGATGGAGAAGTTGAGGTCCAACAAGAGGAAGAGGTGCCCTGGGTCGCACTAGAGAAACAGGGTCCAGACCTCTATGTTCCCCTCTGGTGCTCTGTCTACCACACCGCCCACAATTCCAGTGCTTCTCTGGGGCTGCACAGCCTTCACCAAAGGTCTACTGCCCTTCAGGTGGTACCAGATCACTCGCCACCCAGTGGCTCTGAGGCTATTCCTGGAGAGGCTGCCTTACACCCAGGAAGGAGCCACGGGTGAGGAGTCAGACTTTGTTTGAAACCTGGTGCCATCCATCAAGAGCTCCAAACTCTTGGAGCTGCAGCGTTACCTGTATAAGACTTAGTGTCTTTGTAAAATGGGGATAATGATCCATTTCTTGTGATGGTGGTGACAAACAAGTCAGGCAGTGTTTGGAGATGCTCTTATAGCGTAGGGCACTGTGCCAGGGTTGGTTAATGTCCTCCCTCCAGGAATAGATTGTCTTCCTCCTCCCTGTCTTCTCCCCAACAGCATTGAGTGACACGCTAGGTGGTGGGCTCAGGGAAGAGTTTCCACTCATTGAATTCCCTTTGGTGCATCAGGAACCCAACTCCAGACTTGGTTTTGGGGCAAGAGGGTGGGGTTGTGAGGGGAGCCCATGGAGCCTGGGGGGTGGGGGGAGGGAGTAAACAAAAGAACTTGATAATGAGACGTAAACTGGATTTAGAAAACAAACTGGAGCTAATGACTGTAGGTGGTGTTAGTCACTCTGTTAAGGAATCTGGGAATGCACATGCATACTAATAAGATTCTATTTTGCTTGCCTCTTACTCCTGATTTGGAGAAGGGAGAAGGGTAGAGGGCACTGCAGAATTAAGACACTCAACCTGCATCTCCAGAATGTGCACTCCAGGGCTGGGCCTCAGCTCCTGACGATGTATCCACCAAGCTCCAGGAGCATGGGTTACACTGGGATGTAGGCTGGCTGTCGGCCCTGGGGGAAGGGGGGTCAATGGGGAGCTAAAACTTTTAGAGTGGCTCCCAGCTTCCGGTGCATGCAGCAGACTCAATGGAGTGAGATCCCAGGCCTTATGAGACTGTGTGGCAGGACTTCTGTTATTTCCCTGGCCACAAAGTCACTCTCCAGGCCTGAGGGGCCATGTAAGATTTGGGAGAAGTTTCTAGTGCATTCCTGGTATTACAGATCCCACCGGGATTCCATAAGCCTCAAGCACCTGGCTCTGTCCTGTTATCTAACCTGAATCTCTCCCACCACCACCATTTTTACACCAGTCCCCCTCTTTTTCACACTCAGTGGATACAGAGAAGAAAGAGGCTCCCATAGTCCTTTGCACAGGGGTATTCCCTCTATTGGTTACGAAGGCCTAGGCCACCTTGACCTTTTCTTCCTCAAGCCAAATGCCTTCCCACCTTCTGCCCCTTCTGAGAGCTCTTCTTATCAACCTGTCATCTCATTGGTAGTGGGTACGGGGAACCTGCCATGTGCCCAGCTGGTCACGAGTGCCCAAGAAGGTGGGGGAAGATGAATCATAATTGGAGGCAGGGGGAGCATAAACCTTCTTCACATCAGGGCATTGGAGCTATAGGCATGGGTGCAGTGCAGCCATGACATGCAGCCTGAAGCACAGGGTGCAGAGCCAGGAGAGAGTATGTGAAGCATCCTGCACACCCGTGGAGCTGCCTAGGGCTCTGATAGAGCATGATAGCAAGAGAGGAGACTGGGAAGACATTTATTTGCCCTGCACTTCACACCTAGTCTGGAAAGTCATAAATCTGCCCTGAACTTCAGGGCCTTGGCTCTGAAGCTGAAACAAAGAAGTGTGTGCAGCAGCCTCTCAAGGTTCAGAGCCTTTGGCCCAGTGATTCTATTTCAGGGATGTGAGATTCTCTTCCCCCCTCCTCCCCTCAACTGGTGGGTGGAGTTATGACACTACTGGCATTTGCCACAGAGACATCCCCAAGACATTGAAGTACCAACTAGCTCATGCCCAGTGCCCTGGGGCCCACCCCTTCCTGTTCCATCCTGGGTCCAACCCTTTCCTGTTCCTCCCCTCAAAAGGCTCCCCCACCCCTCCATGTGCTGCTGTTCTCTCTCCATCTATAGAGTCAGCCTGGTTGGGTCCTTTCTCCTCTCCCCCCTCCTTTAATTCTGCTTTCTCTACCTTCGTAATGAGTCCTGCTCGTTACTGGGGAATAAACCTTCTTTAATATGTCTTGGTGGTCTCTGACTCCAATTTCCTGCCCCTCAAACTCTAGCCCGAGAATGTGGGCAAAGACTTAGATACACAGATGTTCATCTCAGTGTTGTTTAGAAGAGTGAAGACAGGAGTACAAGATTCCAGCTGCCCATTGTTAGATATATATACTAGATATATATAGGCATATTCCTCTCTCTCCCCTCTCTCTCTCTCTCTCTCTCTCTCTCTCTCTCTCTCTCTCTCTCTCTCTCCCTCCCTCCCCTTCATCTCCCCCAGATCCCCAGATTAGTTGACCCCTTTGGGAAGCCCTGGCTGGCCTCTGTGGTTAGTGACCAAGAAAAGCAGCCAGGTAGCTCCCACAGCAGTGCCCCTAGCCTGCCTTGCTGACTTGCTCAGGGACCCAACAGACCTGCCATTGCTCACCTTTCCACTTTCCAAGTGTGGATCCCCTTCGGGGAGTTTCCCATGGTGAATGGCTTTCTTCTCTTGGCTTCCAAGGTGCATCTGGGTCTCCACTCTGTTCTTCTGCTAAGGGCACTCAGGGGTTCCTCGAGCTGGAAATGCCCTTAGAGAGCACACAGTCTAACCCCTTTGAGGGAAAGGGACTTGTCACATAGCCACTAGTACAAAACCATGGTGCGCACCCAGGCCATCTGACTCCTAACACAGTGTTCAGTCCAGGCTGAGGCCAACATAATTAGAAAAAGAAACCAGTTGTCAGAATTAACCTAAGTGCAAGAAAGGATGCAGATCCTAGCTCTTCGTGGAGTATCCATTCCCTTCTCTTAGCTGGGAAGACTCTTGGATGGGGGATGGTCCCTCCTCCACACCATCCCAGAGCTTTTCAGAGAGCAGGTCCTCTCTGCCCTGTTGCCAGCCTCATCCTATCCCTGTCACTAGATTCCGATCCTCTCTTGGATGACTGTAGGGTAAGGAGATAACCTAGCCTGCTGCCCTGACCCTTTGGGAAAGCCAGAGCCTGGAGCCTGGAGTATAGCTCCTCCTTCTACTCTCAACCCTCCCTGGCAGCCCCCACCTCTGGCAAGCAATAAAGAAAACATCTCCATGCTGATCCCTTTCCTGCATCCCCTCTCCTCCCTCTTCCCTCACATCCTTCTGCCTCTACCCACTTTCCTACTATTCACCTCCTTTTTCCTCTTTCCCCCCTTTTCATTTCTTTTCCCTTCCTGGGTCTCTGTGGGCCTGGTTTCTGTCTCTCTTTTCTTGTGCCGCCCCCTCTAACATACCTTGGGTTTCATCTTGGCTATGTCCTTTCTCCCCCAGGCTTTCCAGAATCCCTGCAGGGAAGAGCCTGTCTTTCAGGGCCTGCAGTATGCTGCTCTGGAGGTTTCCCTGGTGCATTTGGGGAGGGTGCCCAGCACAAGGGGTTTGGGTGCCTGGACTGACGCAGATACACACACACACACACACACACACACACACACACACCCCTTCCCCACCCACCATGTGCACAGACAGGAGGCAGAGTCTCATATTGCAGATTTCTCCAGCTGATCCTGGGCTGTGGAGACAGCCTCATGTGCCTCCCTGTGGGTATCTGGGACAGGTGCATGGGCGGTGTCGGCCACTAGGAGAGAAGAGATGACATTCTCCCTGCCCTGGATTTACCAGCTGGAGAACCAGAGGAATCTCAAAATTGCAGTTCCTTCCTTGGGAAAGGCATACTTACCTCCTGGGAAGTTCAGGAAGGCAGATTCCAGTCCTGTCTTCCCCAGGAGCTGGTTCCTGCTGATCCCA